AAACAATATTTATTTGCAATTACTCTATTGAACGACCCCGAAGCATGAGCAAACGGGCTGTGTCACTTCGGATCAAAGAGATGCGCCCTGTCACTGTCAGCGCAGGGCTGGCAGGGCACACTCCGCTAAGAAGAGGAGAGGAGAGGAGAGGAGATGGATTGTAGGTCTGTTTGTAAACGGGGCTTCTCTGACAGTCATGTATTTCCCCAAAAAACATCTCTTAATGCACGGTAGAGCGCCGTTTTTTTTGTTGTTTTTTCAAAATATTCGAACCTTAGTTTCCAACTTCGAATATGCTTATTTTTACAATAATTCAAATTGTTTTAGAATAGCAAAGTTCGTTCTGACAGCCCTAAACACAAGTACACAAATTGGCTTCTGTAGAGCTTGCAGCATTCACAGACAAAGCACTTGTCTTTTGCTGGACACTTTTCTCCACAAATACATCATGCTAATGTTTTTAGCACAAGCCTGTGGCTTTTTGCATTGTATAAATTAGCCTAGCAGCTAGCGGACTTTTCCTCTACTCATATGAAGCCAGGATAGATCACACACAAGACTTATAATGCCATTTTGTGGAGGCCTTATTGTCTTCACAATTTATTGTTTCTTATCTGTAAAATAAAAGTAAACAAAAGCTTTGTTTCCACTGAGGGATATGGTTTCAGCTTAAAAAAATAGACAAGAGGTCTGCGTGGCTGGGACGTGTAGTAACATTCCGGAGAGTTGTTTGTCAGGCTACAGGGTAGAGTACGGGCTCGATAAGACTTAGACAAACCTATATCAGTTTGCCAAACCTTGTGCCAGAGAGGGCTTAGTGTATTCGGGTGTTCATATCCATCAAAAACTACAGCAGGTGATTCCTATAATTAATTCCTCTTGTCTGCCTGAATGTTAAATGCTATCCAATTAAAGTGCCAAGTTGATTAGAACTCTTGTATGTCTATGGGAAAAAAGGTTCTTACGAAGACTGGAGGGATCAGTCTTGTCCCAGGCATAAACAGGTTGTTTCTTACAGTTTAAGACAGGACATGTTCTTTGTGTGTTTCATTGGTTAGATTACATGAAAAGTACCACAGAAGGAACAAGAAAACAGGAACTGAGAAAGGCCCTATGTTACGTACAGTGCTCCGGGCACAGCACATGGTTTGACACCACCACCCTCGCCTTAGTGAATAACTAATTTGCTTCACATTTCTGTGGGATCAATCCATCCGGCAGTTATTGGAGATCGTTAGGAATCAACATACTGCCTTTTCCATACTGCTTCAAAGATACTGCTTTGTAAAGTCAGGACAAGGTTACAAAACATTTGTGAATCGATCCAGGTTCACTGTCACTGGTCATTAAGATATGACTATCCTTCAAAGCTGTTACATGCCTCGACTAAAACTCAGTTACTGACCATCCATTATTGTGGCTGATAAGGCTCATATCACAGCAGAACATTAATATGTGGCAGCAGCTACTAAGCAGTTTCTTTGTGGGAATTTCATAGTCATATTTTAATATGCTGTAAGTAATCACTGCAGTTTAAGTCATTAAAAACCAATAAATTTTTTCAGCTACATGCTGTTTATGAAAGTTACATATGCTAATTTTACAAATTGGGTAATGACCAGGGCAAAAGAGATCTATGTTGACGCAGAGTATGGTACCACTGGTTAGTGACATCCATATGATTGTCCACTGACAAGTTATCTCCTTCCTAAAGCCGTACAGATATTAGTGTCAGATAATAGCTGAGAATAATTCAGCTGCTCAGAGAGAGGTTTCAATGAAAAAAGTTACGTGGTTGATGCATCAGTATCCTGACAGGAGCTGGCTTACAGATAAGCACAGAAGGATCTTTGAAAGCCTTTAATTAAATCCTAGAACAACCCCTGAATGAGTAATAAATGGAGAGAAATGCGTTCAGGTACTTAATTGTCAAAGCCATCCATCTCCAGTGAGTAGGATCTTCATCTCTGCCAGTTTGTTCATGTCTTGTATTTTTATATTTTATGCTTTTGTAGCTAAGAGGATGTTCCAAAACCTGTGAAATGAGATAAAACCTTTAAGAATTCTCAAGAGGGGTTTGAAAACAGACAGTGGTTCATTATGCACAAGGTGCTGCACAGGCTGGAGGCAGTGACAGATCTGTGTGTGTAAGTACGAGCGCTGATGATGAACACATAATCATGTTTGTTTGTGTGCATCTGTGTGGATGTGTCGGCAGTATTTTAACTCCCCTGCTGATGAAAGGACGGTCGTGACATGAACAGTTGTCCGTTGTTGAGACAGCAACATGAGACGAGGGTTGAACTGAGAACTGTAATATGAAGCTTGTAATGTGACACTGAGTCCTGAAAGGGAAGGAGGAAGTGAGAAGGAGATGGAAATGGGTGGGGACAGCAGACAGGATGGAGACAGATGGTTTTGTTCTGTTTTTTTTTCTTTGCATTTTGTGATATTACAGCCTGAATTTTAATAATATAAGGAGGATAATTTTTCCAGCTTCCACATAAATGTATATATAATGCGATAGCAATGTCAGTAATTTATTCAAGATGTGAAAAAAACATCATTTTAAAAAGCCGTTCATTTCCCAGAGTCTGTAATTGGCAGAGATAGAAAACAAACGTGGCATTTGCACTTGTAGCAAACTCAGTGGGAATATTTAATTTGGGATTGCAAGCGTGTCTGTGTATGAATGCATGCTTGTGTGTCTGGCTGCAGCAGTGGAGACAAATTTTGTTTGGCAAAATCTGCTCTGGTTTTGCCCTGCAGTGGTGCAATAACACCTGTAAGAGATGGAACATACTTCTTCATGGAGACTAGGGTTTCCACTGACCTCAGTAAGACAAATTCAATTTCACAAAATCTGCAGAGAAAATGATCATTCCTGTCTTCACCTTTAAAACCAAAGTAATTATGTTTTGTTTTACAGCAGGTCTCTGTGTTACATCACAGCTCAGTGACTGTTGTATTAATGTGGCACATCCAGTCTGCATCTTATTTTATTATACGACCTCTCCTCACAGGTGGATGGTACAGCTCTTTATCTTTACATTTTTTCTTTAACTTAAGTGTCAATGTTGTGAAACTGGGATCAGATCTCAGTAGTAATCATTTAAAGCTGGGATAGGCAGAAATCTGGAAAACACAGATGAGACAAGAATTAGCTGACAAGCCAACTAGGTTCATCGGCCTTGCGCCCCATCACTTTGGACTGCTTTGCTGGGAGGAGAGCAGGCAGCAGCTCCAGACCTTCAGTTGGCTGTAGCAGCTCGAATTTGGCCAGTGCAAACCCCCAAACAGGTAGCCAGCAGCAGCACAGAGTCTAACCTATGTAACGGCAGCAACAGAAAGTTTGCTCATCCTGCAGGTGTTAAAGCTGTTTGGTCTAGAAGTCGACCGATTCATCGGTTTGGCCTATTAATCGACGTCAATAGGACTTTATATAAACTAACGTTATTGGCAGAATGAGGCTCCAATAGTGTCCGATAACTGTAACCTCCACTGGTCACGTGAGTACGGCCATAAGCCTTTTGCACAGAGTACCCCACATGCAAATACAAGCCAATGTGTGCTTTTGATAATTTGTATGATTCATATTAAAGTAAGACAGCAAACAAATGTAAGACAGCTTTACTTCTTTACTAGGGGCATACATAAATTAAATTGAGGATGGGGTGCTTTCTGTGTTTTGCTACCAGCCATGGTCGTTATAATTTTGCCAGAATTAAGTAGCAAGCCACTGGCTATGTATGACAAATTCATTTCTGATGATTAAAATGACTATTAACTCATAATTACTTCGAGACCTGGAGGGGCCGGCACTCGGTGCTCTAAATGCACAACAAGCGAATCACATTTTTCACCGTACATCAGATATAATTTTCTCAGAAAGCAATTATCCCGGCATTTTTCTGGCGATGTAGAATGTTACTTTGTCCTGGGGAACTCCGTCTGCAGGTTGATGCAACCACTGACTGGGGGCCAGTCTCCAGAGCTGCTGCCCACTCTGCTCCTGGGGAAGTGGTCTGTAGCAGTGGGGAGTGAGGCGGAGGACATACTGTGATTTGAGTACCTTCACATAAATGTGAAGTTCAAGATTAGCAAAAGGCTAGATTATTAGCAACATTTTCTCTCTATCTCTGGCAGGCTTTGTTGATATTGACAGGTGTGTTATTTTGTTTATTGTCAGGCTCTTTTTGATAAGTGCTTTTTCCTTTTTTTGAGTTGCTTTGCAGTGCAGGGAGTTGTTGCCATTGCTGGAATAGAAACTTTCACTGCATGATCTCTGCCATTCTATCGGGCTTTCACCATCTGAAGGGACGCACATGTGCATTTGTAGAACAGCCAATAGGAACGCCCTCTCTCAGAGATGACCTGAAATGACCTTGATTTTGTAAATCATGAAAACAGAGCCAAGAGGAGGTGCAAAAGTCTAGTTTTGTCTCAGACCACTTGACTTACAGTATGCTCAAAGTTTATTATGGGATTTTTGCCCGATGACACCAAAATAATACTGTCTACCCCAGTTTTAAATATGTTGATATTGAGGCAGGCACCTTCAGTCTCTTCCTTCCTCTCTCTTTGTCTGTTTGTCACCAAACACACACACACACACACACACACACACACACACACACACTCCAATTATAATCAGTGAGCCGGCAGGCCTCCTCTGAGGCCTGATTGGCAGCAGAATTATAATTTCCTGACGTCACTTTTGTCCTCCGTGTCTCGCTCAGGGGAGGTGGAAACGAGGGAGGTGCTCTTTGCTCCTCTTCCTCGCTCCCTTTCATCTCCTCTGACACATTTCTAAATGTTCTCCCTCACTCCTCTCTCCGCCTTTCCCTACTTTTTCTCTCTGTGTTTAAAAGGTCCTGACTGATAGGCTTTGCCATTTCAGAACAGTCAGACATTTACCCTGACTTTTCCCCTCCATAGAAAAACAGGCCATAGGAGATGCAGATGTTTTATAATACATCTCTTCTTCTCTTCTCTTTCAGGGCAGCTGGAAGTTGCACCACCCACTGCAGCACAGTTAAGATACGGTAAGAGGTCAAATCTTTTGTCATGTTGGTGGATGTTTTAGAACTATATGTATTTCTGTTTTATCCCTTTTTGTGAGAGGGGTGGTTAAAGGAGTACATGATTTGAAAAATGCTCATTAATCTTGCAGCATGACCGCCATCACTCATTCAACCGTCAAGCAACCAGGATGATTAATGACAGTCTTAATTAACGTTAATGAGCAGACCACTGTGGTTCACTGTTGATGCTTTGTTTCCATGGTCTCTCCAAAGGAATGGAAAAACATACTTTACATGGACCTGGCTTATAGGATTATTGCATGAGTTACAGCCCCTGATGTCTCAAACAAATTGGTGCCCAAGGATATCAGTTTACTCTGATTCTAAGGTGAAAGATAAAGTATATTAATAATACAGAGGAAGGTGAGTGAAGATGAGAGGCTGTAAAAATTCTAAATGTATAGTCCTGTCACTTCATGACACAAAGCGCACAATATTTAGCCATTCCATCATGCCGTGCCACTTGCTTGAAATTCATCACAGTTTCTGCCACAGTTCGCAGAGCATAACACACACAAATACTGTCAAAGAAAAGCAAGAAAACAAACAGTCCAGATATCAAGACTGAGACAGGAACCCATCACTGTAAACAGACTCCTTGTACTCCATCTGCTGTACAGTAACATGCACCATCTGGACAGCTAATGGCCTTTTATATAATGTAATTATTGATTAATGTTTATGGTTTATAAAGATCCCATTTGCTTCCACTCATCGTCTGCCCAGAGTCCATAAATACTCATAAGTTATATGGAGCAAAATACTGAACAATAGAAAACAAACAAGAATTAACATGGGGAATGTAAAATGCTGAATAAAGAAAACAACATAAGCTAGTTTAAAAAAAGACAGAATTAGCATTCAAAGCAGAGAGAGGTGAAAAAAGATAGGCCCAAAGGAATATAACTAAATCGGGTATTTACACCTGACAATATGGAGCTCTTTGTGTTTGGTGTGAGTTGTAGATGGTGTCTTGCAGATAATGTCTCACTATAAATGTAAGGTCACACACTCACACACATGTACCTACACACACTAAAAGCTTGTGCGGGCCTACTTCACTCTGAAGAGCTCAGTTACTGACATGACCTCAGATTTCTCTCCTCCTCTCCTCCTGCTGAGTGGTTGGAAGCCAACTGGTTAACCTGCTGCAGTTCATATCAGCTTGTGTTTATATTTCTTCCTCACAGTATGCATTTAACAAAGAGATCTTTGTGGCTATATCAGCAAAAACAGAGACATCATGTGAGAAGTGTCTCCTCTACTGCTCAGTGTTTCTCTTGTGCTGAAATGCTGTTTTTCCTGCTTTGGCTCTACACTAAAGATAACACAGACGAGTTAAACTTTAAAAGGAAAGGTGGACTCAGCAGGCTGTGACTGGAGCAACAAACAGCATCAAACACAGCGCTCGTGATTTTCCTGTCAATGGCAGAGTCTTTGTGTTGTGTGTATTGTTGCATTGTTCCTCCTGGGAATTAAACATTGATGACTTCTATGAGGAAAGCTTCTTGCACAATAAAACTGAGTGAGTGTCAACAAAATTTGGGGCCAAACAAATTGCCTTGACCTTGAATCCTCATAGATGTTTTTAATGAGAATTTTAGAAATGAAGTGCCTGTCTTTTTACCTGAGACTTTATGACTTTTCCTGGAGTCAAACACAAAATATTTTCAAAAAAACCTCTAGGTCTTGACTCAAATCAAGAAAAAATGTCGTTTTAAGAAATCTTGAAACTATATGTGCCATGTCTCATTGTATTTTTTATGGGACAGTAATAACAGAGTTCAAGGGGAACCTTGACACGTCACATAAACTGCCTGTGTTCCCACAACATTTGTCCAGGTTTCCACCGAGACAGGCACCTGTTGGTCCTTGAAGTGTCATGGGGGAATCTCGTAAGAGGTAAAGAGTAAAAAAACATAAGCATGATCATATATGGTGCACACAAGGAAGTGAGGTCATAGGGTGCAGGCCTGCCATCAGGGGGGCTCAAAGGGTACAGATGACCCTGTTACAAAGCCAAGAGAGGGCCCATGAAAAGGTCTATGGTTGACCTCTAAAGTCACTTAAATCACAGTTAATACAATTTCCATGTATTTACATGATAAATAAATGTATTTTTAATCATTAAAACACATTTCAGTGTGCCATCTGATACTCCCACCACCTGCAGGCACTGTGAAATGGTGTGGTCCATCTGACAATGGGGGTCAGATGCGCAACGTGCAGAACTTATAAACGCTGCTAATGTAAACGTGAGGCAGACTGCAGCCTGATTAGCATAGTCAGTGCCTCACCAAAAATCAGGGGCTCCTCAAAGAAAAGCCAAGATACAGACAAAGCAAGGAAGTGAAAGGAGAAGAGAGACAGTGGCCAAATGTCTGACTCAGAGGGCTTTGTTTTAAAGCCATAGTGAAGATAGAGGACCTAAGGCATCCATTGGTACCAACCATGTTATTCTATCTTGTCGGAAAGGGGGTCAAATAACGCTGGCGGGGGGAGAAGGAACGCTGCCTTTTTTTCAGTGTTATCAATTCTGCACATGGGTCCCTAACCAGTCTTGCAATTACATGGATTGGGTTTGACTGGAAAACAGAGTTGACAGTCTTATACTCCTTACACTTTATTCAGTTCTGCACACAATTTGACCAATATATGATTAAAGTAGTATTTTTTCAGTCATGATTTGGTCTCATGATTTAACACCTTACAGTAATTTCTTCTATGTTTGATTTGACCTTTTTCTAATCATTCATTGGAGGACATTTTTAGGCCAAAAAACAAAAAAATAAAATACATGTGAAATATGATTAATTGGATGGGTGTGGATGAGGGGCCCACTTTGGGAAATGTTGTCCCCCTGCTCATATTTCCTAACAGCTGGCCTGATTGGGTGCCTTGACACTGTCGCGAGATCTGCACCTGCTAGCACAAGCACCAACAATGTTACCGGCAAGATAAGCAAATTAAAACCCAGCAATTCTGATCTAAACAACAGACACTGCTTTGAATACAAAGACTACTTTGCAATTAGCAATTATTTATGTTTTCAAATAGATAATAGCTCTGAAACAATAGTTAAGGATCAATGATTTCAGATAGGCTAATTATATATTCTTAATAGATCTGTGGTCCCAAAGTGTCTATACCCAAAATTGGGTATAGACACTTCTTATATATCAGTTTAGGAAGGACTGAAATGCAGAGCAGGGGGTAGGTTGAAGATTTAAACAATAAGCAAGCTTTGATAGAGCTGATAAACATTCAAAACAAGTAGGTAACTCAAAGTCCAAAAGAAAGTAGAGTCGAAATTAAACTGAAAACCATCCGGGATAACATGATGATAGGAAGGTATATATACACAGAAAACTAATCACAAGAACGAGACACAGCTGGAGTGGGAGGACATTGGCTAACAACAAGGGAGTGGTGGGGAACACTAGGGTGAAGCAAACATGACTAATACAGAACAGGTGTGAAGGGAAGACTCGGAGAACAGGGAGGGACTAACGAGACAGGTGGAAGACAGGTGTGACAGAAAACAGGCGGGAAAACAAACAAAGACAGGAAGTAAAACCAGACATGACACAGGAGGAGAGAATCTAAATAAAACAGGTAACAGATTAAACATAAATGAATAACAAAAAACAAGGAAGAGCACAAACAGAAAACTCCAAAGTGAAGTCCAAAAGATACCAGGATCATGACAGAGGGGATTCTTGGGCCGAGTCAAAACTGACCCTGGATCACACTGTGAAGGTATAAAATATAAATAGTATGTAGGGGTTGAACTTTGAGACTTCTGAGGTTTGAGTAGTGGCTCTGAAACAACCTTCAGACTTCACTCTCTAGAGCTGAATTTTTCTTTGCCATTAAATAAGAGGAGGAAGGTTTGAGGTGATGTGATCAAAATGTTTAATTAACAAGGCAGCACAGAGGGCAGACCTCGGCCAAGGCCTCTGTGCAGACAGCTTCAGTTTCTACCACATAAGCAGAATTTGACCTGGGGGTGGCACTAGGGTAAAAATGATCATTTCTCTAAAACCTGTGGTGATGTATCACTTAAAAACTTTCCTCAAACAGCTCAAAGTTAGCTGTTTTATTAATACAGTATGACAGAAAGTTCAGTAATTGGAAATACTGTAGCCAGAGGAGTCCATTTTTAATTTCCAGCTGAGTCCAGGGGAGATAAGGAGTACTCTCTGGAAAATTACAATTTGGAGATCTTGGCGATCCTGTCACCATGAAAGCTGTACGGAGAGTTTGAAGTTCAGAATAAGTGTTTTGGTTCATGGTCAGCTAAGAAAGCAGTGCTGGGTGTTTATAACAGTCATGTAACTTATTGCCACTGAATTGCACAAGTCAGTGATGCTCTAAAATAAAGGATACTAGAGAGGCAAAGGGTCGGACAAATAATAAGCTTTCTCTGCACTCACTGAAGTTCGATTTTACTCTTGAGCTCTGGTTGTTTTTCTGCAGTAGCATCCAATAGCAGTGAACACCAGGTTTTGATTCAACGCCAGGAGATGGAGTGCTCTTCAAAATCCAATCAAAATTGCCCCTGATATAAATGAGAAGGCGTTTCGGGTACTCAAACAGCAAGATTGAAAATTCTTCATATGTAGTGAAGGAGAGCTGCCGCAGAACAAAAGCTTGAGAAAAGTGACTGGTACTCAGGAGTGATTATGCTTTAAGCAAACACTTTTGTGTAGATCCCCGACTGAACTAGACTGAACTCCACTTGAACTTCATCTACCAGAAGAGACTACATTTTCCTGGGGCGGTTGGTGACATTTAAAATTCACTTCCACGGCACCAACAGTATGATACACTGTATATCTTATTTACACCCACAACACACACAGTGAATCTACTCGTGCATTTAAAGGTGTGAATACATTACTCCATCTAGAAATATTTACATTCTGACAGCCTTTGGGGTTTTGGAAATAGAGCTACTTGATATTTACCACACTATTCACACAAAAGTTCACGATCAGATCTCAGTGTTTTTTATTTTATTTTCAGCAATGAACCCCATTCCAGTTTAGGAAAAGATTTTACTGTTTTGAGGTGATGACTGTGCTACAGAAAAAAGATATAATAACTTACTCACTATATTATGTCACTTTCAAGTTCTTTATGAGGGTTATTAGTATGTTTTCTATCACATGTTTTAAGAATATGGACTAAACCAGCATCTGCACGCTTAGGTCATTTGCAGCCATTTCTATTATTCTCGTGAACACAGTATCTCAAGAACACTTAAAGGGAATTTCTTCAAATTTGGCACAAACATCCACATGGACTCAAAGAAAAATGGATTAGATTTTGAGGTCAAAGGTCAAGGTCATCATGACCTGGCATTCCATCTCGTATTTGTGAATGTGATATCTCTCTAACACCTTGAAGGAATTTCTTCAATTTTTGCACAAACGTTCACTTTGAGTAATTTTCCTTTCATTTCATTTGTATGACTCATGACCATATCACATGGTACAGATCAAATTTGACACATAGTCCACTTAGACTCAATAATGAACTGATTAGAATTTGGTTTGGCATAGGTCAAGGTCACTGTGACCTTGCATTCATCTCATATTTGTCAAAGCGGTATCTCACTAACACCTTGAGGGAATTTCTTCAACTTTTGCACGAACTTACACTTTGAGTCAAGAATGAAGTGATTAGATAATGATGATCAAAGGTCACTGTGACCATTTCTGCTATCACAAACACAATATCTCAAGCACACCTCAAATATCACATGTAGTTCACTTGGACTCAACAATTAACTGATTAGATTTTGGTGATCAAAGGTCAAGGTCACTGTGACCTTGCTTCCATCTCATATTCGTGAACGTGATATCTCACCAACACCTTGAGGGAATTTCTCTTCAACTTTTGCGCAAACACACACTTGGACTCAACAATGAACTGATTAGATTTTGGTAATCAAAGGTTAAGGTCACTGTGACCTTGCATCCATCTCATATTGGTGAACGCAGTATCTCACTAACACCTTAAGGGAATTTCCTCAAATTTGTTGCAAACGTCAGCTTGGACTCAAGAATGATCTGATCACAATTTGTTGTTCAAAGGTCAAAGGTTGAGGTCACTGTGACTTCACAAAACATGGTTTTAGTTTTGGTAACTCATAAATTCATACACTAATTATGACTAAATTTCACACAAATATTTAATAGGATAAAATGATGCGGTGATGACATTTTTACATTTCATTAAAGATCGGCTTCACTGTGACATCGTAACATTCTGCAGAAACACTTTTCTGGCCATAATTCAGCGCCATAACTCAGGAACAGAAGGTGAGGCATTTGGTCAGATTCTGAATTGGTGACACTAATTTTGGGTGACAACCATGAAACTGTGCTTATCTGTGTCGTAGAACATGTAGCTTCTTTGCAGCAACATCCATATTTGAAGCATTTTCACCTGTCACTACAAATGAATCTATACAGACATAGATGTAAACTGAAACTGCATCTTGATTTGGTGGAGGCACACAACTGCGGGCGGTAATTCTAGTTGCAGTATGCGTCCACAATTCAATCTGTTAAAGGAACATATTAAAATCCTGCATGCATAAATAACCAGAGTTATGCTCCATCTTCAGTTTATCTCTGTCTGGTGAAATAATGTTCTTGTGTCTTCCTTGTGTTTATTCTGTTACCATCCTGCTCCATAAGGCTCAATTTTGTCTAATGGGTTGTTACTTATTAATGTGGACATAAACACAGTCTGCATACTTTATGTTTATCTTGTCTGTCACTGATTTATTGTTTGTTTGTTATTTCACAGTTCTGCTGCACAATGCGATCCCCTTCGTTGGATTTGGATTCCTGGACAACTGCATCATGATTGTTGCTGTAAGTCTGTCAGCTTCATGCACCTTAGTGGGTACATATTTATTCAGTGTCAGGAGTTTGAGGGGGAACATGTGCATGGAGAATATGCTGCATGAACTCAAAATACCGTAGGAGGCTTTGGAAGGACAAGCATTGCGGTAGAAGGAGAAACAGAAAATCACATTTTTAGTTTGATGCCACTGTATTTATATCTCTGTATATTTCTTGTTTTTTTCTGTCATTGTTCGGCAGTCAGTCTTTCATCTCTGTTTCTTAGAGGCCTTCCTTTTCTCTGTGTATTTTAACATCTGATACAATTTTTAGTAATTTGCCTGCCACAAGCACACCCACACTTTATTAAAGCCTTTGTGAAGTTGTTCAAATAATGAAATCCATTCCCAGTGGAACGGTACGATGCTGCTCAGAGAATGAAGTGTAATGTATTTTTTTCAACTTAATTCAAAGATGGCTTCCTCAGCAGGGTTATTTTTTAACACGGAGATGATGAACTCTCATGGAGGATTCTCCAAGGAGCTGGAAAGACTAATAACAAGAGAAAATAATATATACAAGAGGGGAAAAACCGGAATATCCTTAATGAGATGGCATAACTTTGAAATGTCAAGTAAGAATGTGCAGATAGTATACAAATACCTGTTTATTTATTTGCCTTTTCTCTGCATAAAGCAGACTCTGCAAAAGCACGGAGAGAGACTTTTGGGCTGGAAACTTGATGTGTACACTGTGAAATGTTTGTACAAAGGTCTGACTGTACTTGTTTAAGTCCAGACTTTGAGAGAAACTAATGCACCCTGCCTGAAGATCTCAGGCTGATTTCCATTTTGGATTGGATAAGAGTTCTGCACTGAAGCCTGGAAGCCAAAAACTGAAAGACTGAAAGCTTTCAGAAAATCCTAAAAAGCTACAAGTAGACTTTTTGGAAGTTACTGTCAGCAATTTGGACCACATAACTCGGTTCAACTTCACTTAAACTTATTCGAAATTCAGCAGCAGGCATTTTGGAAAAGACCTTTAAGTTAAAAAGTATAGAGGAGAGAAACCTGTAGTCCATATATGAGACATTAAACAGTGGAAGTCGTCATTACTGGAGAATAAAAACATATCGGTATCAGGATCCATAAATTTGAAGCACAGAATTATGACGACACAAAAAAGACAAAAAGTTAGCCTCAGTTTGATAATTCAGTTCTGTATTTCTTTCTGAATAACACTGAAAAAGGACAGGAACAGATGAATTTCATGCCACAGCCGGTGCATTAGCCGGCACTGATGGTTTTTATTATAGAATGACAAAAAATAAATTGAAAGCATTGAGCTCTCCTGTCTAACTCACTTTGGTAATCTGTGTGCTTGTGTGTGTGCTTTCAGGGCACGCAGATTGAGTTATCCATCGGTGTGGTCCTCGGCATATCGACTATGGCAGGTAAGGGAATCTCATGATCCTAATATAGCTTCTTATCTAATAAGAAATGTTCATGTTTTTGATACATATCAGTACCATACACAGACAGTCTATCAGGCTGTCGTACCACCTAAACCGAGACCAATTCACAATCAAGACCAAGGCAGAATGAAACTGAGTCAAGATAAAGACCAGACCAGTGTTAGTCCTATACTGCATGACACACTTATGATAAAATGTGAAACATGCAAACCATATGCACTCCTCTAATTGATCTTAAAGATACACATTACCATAAAGACACCAACAGAAAACAAATGAAGAGTCATCTTCATTCACTTCTGTTATATACTACAGTATATGTGTGAGTATATACCATGAGAAATGTTGTTGCAGAGAATTTTATGTATCGGAATTTTCCTTTGTTAATGAGCAAATAAATTATAGACAAACACTGAAATCAGCTGAAATCAGCCACATTTTATTCAACACCCCTTTTTGCACAGGCAATGTAGTGATATCTCCGTAAATGGGGTCTTGACTGGTGTTGAAATAAAATCCAAAGTCCTCTTTGTCTGAAACAGAGATGAGGCCAAGTAAAAATGTGGTCGAGTTCGAGACCTTCAACAAGTGCTCTTAAGATCGCTCTCAATACCAAGACAAATCTCAAGTCCTAAAATGGTGCTGTCATGTGTTTGAGGTAGAGAGATGTTGTTTTTATATTCATTCATTTTGGAGGGTTAGGTATTAGTTGCCCTTTTGTCGTCGGTACCTTGGCTCAGTGGTTCCCAACTGGTGGGTTAGGGTCCAAAAGTGGGTCGCAGGTCTATTGGAAATGACTCAAAAGCATTATTTTGAAGTACAGTGAATTTCCAGTACGGAGCTTTTATTCTGAAGTGCCATTTACTGCTGTAGAATGAGTGACTAATAGACAGCTATTTAACAGAGACAGCAAACTGGCTCCACGTCATGGCCAAACGCAAGTATGGTGCTGAAAATGTCAGTGTAGACCTTGAACTAATGACTAAAGAGAAATCTGGACCCCGTGGCTGGACCTGTTGGGAACCACTGCCTCAGCTTTTGAAACCTACCTTGATTTTTATGTCTTATTATTATGTATAGTTGCGTAATTCATAATTTAATTGCTCAGGTTTAGGAAAAATGTTGAAGTAAATTTTTATTTGATTCAAGCTATGACCTCAGACTTTTAGTTTAAGTTTAGTTGTACATTTTCCCAGACCAGACTACAAGTCACACTCCTGATTAGAGTGACGATATGCCAAATCATGGTGCACTCTCAACTCTTTCAAACAAAAACAGAAGGAGGCATTTTCAATCTACGTGTTGACAGAATATCCAGCAGTCTTATAATGAAGCTTTAATGATAAAGTCACAATTTGAACACTGCTGTGACACTGATCCAAAAAAAGAAAGTGAGATAACATTAGAGAAAGGGGAAAGGAGGGAAGGGGTGACACTGGCTGGCCTTGGTAATGATGATTTCATAAATATGATAATACTATTCACAAGCATATTGAATGGGTGCAGTAATATCCACTTAGCTCAGAGACGCACATTTGCATTTTAATGTCACTTGTTCCTATTCAGGATATCTTGAGAGACACTGAGGTTATGTCTCATTACACAGAGTGTGGATGCAGACAGGAGCTTTGAGGAGAGGAGCACACTGAAGTTAGTGAAGCATGAGGACTGTCCCTATTTACATATTTGATGTGGTTAAAAAAACAATCCATGACCACAATCATCACCATCACTCAGTCAGCAAGGGAATTTATTACTTCCTGTTTTGTCAAGGTAACTTTACTTCCTACTTCCCAAAAGATTCCCACTGCTACTGATCCTTTTGTTGCTGCTGGCGATGATAACAGAGTGCTTTGGTTGCTTTTAGCTCAACCTTTTAAAGATCAAATGGACTCAGTAAAGTTATCCGTCGAAAGACTTAGAGGAGTCAAAGCTGATGCTGTAACAGAGCAGAGGAGGCAGAGGCCAGAAGCGTTTTTTATTCTTCTTCTTCATGGGAAAGAGGAGAGATGTAGAAACCTTGACCAGTGCAGGCTAAAGAAAGGAGCGATGGATCTATCAGAGATACCCTTAAGAGGAGGTATTTTGATCCTTCCTTTGAGGTGCTTAATGTGTCAAACCAGCTTTTGACGTGATCCTGCTCTCGTAGATTTACAATTCAAACCAGTTTTTCAATTTAAAAATTGCAATTGTTCATCTTCTTTTGGAGCGTCTACCATGAATGGATAATTGGGATTTCGACTGAGACAAAGTAGCAATATCAGGTCTGGTGAGATTTATGGACAAAAGGGTTATCAGAATGCAAACCCAGGCAGAAAATGCAAAAATCATTTTTCTCAAAGGCTACTCGTAGTTTGACAGGCAGAGCGTGTTATCTCTGAGTGGCATAAAAAGATTAGACGGGGAGCTCCAGCTGCGGAAAGTCCGCATAAAAGAGTGATTTGAGAAGAATGTAAGAAACACACAGCCATGCTCATAGACACAAAAACTGAAAAAGCTTCTGTTCTTTCCTTGAGCACAGTCTCAACCCAGTTTTTATCACTCAGATTCAATTTTCTCAGCAGTGGTACTGTTTCTCATCCCGGCTACACTGGGGACATGTTGGGGTCTGCTAATCAAGAGGCTGCAGTTATCTAGCTCCGTCCACGGTGATTTAACACTCGTGTCAAATCTGCAGTCAAGTCCACCAATCACACATTTTGTAGGAGGCAAATGTGGCTCAGCTGGTTCGATGAAGATGGAAGCTGCACTGTTCGGAAATGGTCCACTGCTGAGTTGAGCCAATTATAAACTTTAAACAAAAGTGTGAATGTACTCCAGAGAAGATTAAATCCATTAACAACGACTGCTAATGTAATTAAAGCCCTCCTGTGTCCCTAAAAACATTTCAATTAGCTTCTTATATTTATACTGCATCAATATATTTACAACACAGCTTTTCATTTTGGTTATTGTAGCCTACCTACTCAGTTCAGTTTTGTTCAAACTTGTTATACACACCTCTTAACATAAAGAACACACTTAGCATGGGAGATGAGCTGTTAAGGGTCGACTAAACTGTGAAACTGGAATGTGTCCACTATGGGCATATGGATCTGACTAAGGTGTAGAGAGACCCAGTTAGCAAATTATGAAGCTATACTACTAGGTGAGCTTTAAACCCCCATGCACAGTAGTGTAGTAACACTATAGACCCTAATGAAAGCAAAGTTACAGTGTAATAGAGCATGACTGAATTTAAACATCAGAAATTAAATGCATCGACATAGGTGTATTTATTCCCAAATTTGGTGAACAGCACCTTTAAGATTTTCAAACCCCTTAAGGAATAATAATACCTGGGATTTTTGTAAGTTTCAGTTGAGTTTATGGTATCATATATTGGCGCACATTTTGGAACTCGTTTGATAACCTTGAGAGATGAAGGGTTTTTACTCACTGTTCCTTGGAAATATCAGAAAACTGTAGATATTCATGTTCAACTCCATCCAGGCAAGCGATGTGATAGAGGCGACATGCTCCGTGGGCAGAATCAGTGGCATCTGCAGCCTCTGAAGCAGATTATCCACAGAATTCACAAATACTATTATATTTCTGTCTTTAAACTGCTAATGCTTTCTTTATCACAGTTCTCAGTGTCCATACTCAGTCAGAAACTCCTCCATCAAGTGCACAGTTTCTCACTAACTCACCACAGCTCACCTCATGCTTAGAGTTCATGTAGCTTAGCAAACAAGTGACCGAAAATAGCTTCAAATATGCTCCTCTGGCGTTTTAACAGAGCTACAGACTGATACAAAACCCCTGCTGGTAACAGTACGAACAGGTCACACACTCTCCGTTTCTCCCAGTTTGATGTGCATCTCTCTTTTTTTTTTCCACCCCGCTAGACACCTGTTATGTTAAGAGACTCATCTTTAATAAGTGTTGATTGGTTAATGACAGACTGACACCTGGCGAGCCAATAAACGAATGACAGCAGGACTTGCTATGTTCAAGGACACTCAAAGTGTGGGAAATTTAAACCTACTGCAAAATATGTCTTAACACTAAAAGTCTGTATATTTGTTAACCAAATACATATGAAATAACGTAAACAGGTTTAGTAGGGTACTACATTACTGTAATAACACTTTCCATTAACACATCAGACTGAATAAATGCATCCAGGTTGGTTGTCTTCACATCTTTCCCTCTGGTCTCTGATTCCCACACTCACCCGCCATACCTGAAGCCTTTCTACAGCTGCAGTGCACACATGCCAGCACACATGCAGTAATAGGCCTCACACCCACCTTTGATTGATAACACCTTTGTGCATGTGTGAGTAAGCTTTTGTACAGTCGTGTGTAGGTGTACTAGTGTGTGTTATGTTGCTATACAAAGCCTCCAGGTGTAGATAGCTGCTGCTCGTATACGGCGATCACCATGACCTACAGCTGCTAAGTGAGCCTTGCGGATAAAAAAGCAAAACACACCAATGAAACATTCCCATTGTCTCCCATTTGTTATTTCACAGTGTTTCACAGCCCATTTATCCACCAATAGACGGTTGCTGCGTGTCTAGAAAGTTCTAGAAAGTTCCTGTGACAGATGGAGATATTCATCATTAAGTGAGCATGTGTGAAAACGAACAGAAGGAAATCAGAATCTTTAGGCTCTGAAACCCAGTTTTCTCACCCTCGCTCTCTGATTTACTCCATCTTTCTTTCTTCTGATCAGTGAGAGTGATGGACAACAGCAAGAGGCTTTTACTTCTCAATGAACGCTGGAAAAGCAGCTGTTACATGGTAGTTGACATTTTTGGAACTGCTTCAGAGGCTCTTGTTTTGTGCGAGAGTATGATTGCACCTCTCACCAGCCTGTGGGGGTGGAGTTAATCTCATGCAGAGCACAGTGAGAAGCAGAGCAGTGAGTTACAGGCAGCCAGCAGCTGACCTTGGCTCGTAATTACATTTGAACAGGTTGACCACATAATCAGGCTGATGGGCTCTCCATAACGTCTGCCTCCTCAGGGGCTTGTACAAGGTATGATGTATAATTGACATCGCATTATTTAATTAATACATGGTTTCAGTTTTAATAATCTTTACTCTGTAACCTTTTCTTTTTTTAAACAAACTTGAATCACTGCCAGGAGACCCAGAACAGAGTGTACATTCTACCATATTATATTTGCAACAGTGAAATTACATCCGCGGTTCTCTGCCGTTGTTATTTTTTTAGTCATATCCTTTTGTTTGTTGTAATATTTAGGATTATTTTGTTCATGTAAACAATCAATATTCCTGTTATTACTATTCGACTGGTCATCAGTTACTTGAATGCACTGTCATCTGTCATTGTTACCTCTGACAGCTGCCAATGAGCTGTCAAGCTGTCATCTGTTTGCGGCTCGGTCGATGTGACGTAACGTCCGCTGCACAGAGGATTGTGGGTCAGAATAGGTAGAAAAGATGCTGGCTCGCATACTGCAAAATCGGACCACATGTATTAGAACATCCTGGTATTTTTGGCATACTGCATTTGACATAGTATGTATTAGGACATATTAGATCTTTTTCTGGCATACTATATAGCATGGTAGTATGGGTATTGGAACACACATGAAATTATGGCAAAAGGTCAAAGGTCAACCTCACTGTGACATTGTAAGGCATTGTACTTGTGCGTCAGCTCTATGCAGAGCCTACACCGTAGCCTACGCATGTGGCCTACGCTGTTGTAAGCATTTATACCTGAATTGGTGTGTCTGTGTCACTCTGCAGTTATACCTCCAAAACACTAGTTGGCGGGGGGGGGGGGTTCTGTGAAGTTTAGTTGATTCAAAACACACATTGAACATGGCTTAATAGTGACAATGTCAAACACAAGTACACAAATCAGCTTCACTATAACTCGCAGCATTGACATTATCTGGACACATTTCCCCCACAAATACAACATGCTAATGTTTATAGCACAAGCCTATGGCATTTTACATTGTATAAATTAGCCTAGCAGCTAGCGGACTTTTCCTCTACTCATATGAAACCAGGGACAACAGCAACATTTAACAAAGGTAACGTTACAAAATTCAGCTCCATTACAACTCACAAGGTTCACCAACAAAACAACTGTCTTATACTAAACACGTTCTCCAAACAAATATAACATGCTGTTATTAGCACAAGCCTATGGCATTTTACATTGTATAAATTAGACTACCGACGAGCTGAGATTTCCTCTACTCATAAGAGACCAGGATAAATCACACACAAAGCTTAAAATGCTGTTTTGTGGAGGCTTAATGTTTCTACAATTTATTGTTTATCTGTGAAATAAAGTAAATAAAAGATTTGTTTCCACTGAAGGAAATGGTTTCAGCTTCCAAAAATAGACAGGAGGTCTGCCTTGCCACAATGCATAGTTATATTTCTGGGGAGGTGCACGTCAGGCAAGGAGCCTACGCATTAGGTACGGCGTCAATTTGATACAGAAGTATAAATCCTGCTTAATGTTCTGCATAAACACTTGTGAAGTAAGTAGAATTTGTAGCTTATTTGCAACAACATTAATATTTGAAGCATCGCCTACTGTCATGTCTACCCTGTTCCTCTGGTGGTCTACCACAAGCTCATTGGTTTTACCGGTATTGAGCTTCAGATGATTGTCGTTGCACTGCGTGACAAAGCTCTCCATCAGTCCTTTGTATTCCTCTGTAAAGATCGCCTATATGTAAAGATAGCATGTTTCTCACTGGAATCATACATGTCATTGTATTTATCACTTCAGTTTCACCAAAAAATACAGTTATTACTACCTTGTATTAAATTCCTTCAAAGTCTTCACTATATTATATGAGTCTGGACAGACATGGATGTAAACTGCAACTTAACTGGGTGGCAGAGGCATACAACTATGAGGTGATAATCCTAGTTTTTATAATAATCCAGCAGAGGAAGTCATCAAAATGAAAGACATTTTAGTAGTAAAGTGTAGCCCTTAAATCATCATATAATGAACTATAAAACATGACATGGACGTCTTCTTCAATCTCGCTTAAGTCATCTATTTATGGAGAACATTCTTGCATTCTTACTCTCTGTAACGACTTACAATCAGACTGAGATCCCAGTACAAACAGTCTTTTCTGTTGAAAACACCAGAACAATCTCCTTATTTAGCACAAACGTACGAGGTGTGTTTTGGCACTGACTGATTGGCCAAGAATGAGAAACTTGCACTGTTTTCCTCCCGTTGCTCTGCGTCTCCCCTTCCACTCTGAAGTATTGCTTTTTTAGTGGGCAACAAGCTAACAGGCTCGACTGGAGCCAAACACAGACAAACCTGCAGCTTATTAACATTGATGCTTTGTTAAGGCAGGCGGGCTAGTCTCTGTTCAACGAGGCCAGGGTCATAGGCCTGCTGAGACACACACAGTAAACAACACTCTCCCAAATCACAGCACACAATGACTTTACTAATTAGACTGTGGCGCTTTAGAATTTTATCTGAATTCCTCTCTGCTTTTTAATGTGGGTGCAGGTCCTGTGGGTGATTTGTTCAGATGTACGACTACAGATTGTGAGTAGGAAGAGAAACACTGCAGCCAGTTTGGCAACATTAGATGTTGTCTCAACCTTGTTGCCACAGTAGCAGGCCATTGGATTGAAGCTCTGAAGACCTTCTGCAAGTTAGATGGAGATTGCGCCTCAGCAGAGATGGCAGTGCTGCTTTGTTACCATTCCCCTTAGGGTGTCTGTGTCGCTGCGGCAGCTGCAGCAATAGTCTGAACTCAGGGTCACAGACAACAGAGAGCAAACGAGCAAAGCACAGGCTTTATTCTGTCCTTAGGTGCCACTGTGACAGTAATCTTCAAGCTACAGAGCAAACTGATTCTTTAACACAATATCTCCTGACTCCAGGTCGCAGATATATTCAGGGATAGTCACACACAGGTCTGCACCTTGCTCTTGTTTCATTAGTTATTCTCAGCATGCCCTCGTTTTCTTTTCCTCGGACACTATTCTTCTGCTCTGATAATTCATGTGAGTTATCAGGCTCAGGGAGAGTCAACAGTGATGTGGGCTTCAGCATTGCATCTCCATCCCTAATGAGCCCAGAAGGCACTGTGGCTGTCCATCATATCCTGCTTATGGTAAAAATAAGCAGCATTTTGTCATGTTTTTAAAAAATACTGACCCATATTTGTTCTATATTTATATATATGTGTGTGATTATGAGGCTCTGAGGCTAATTATGATGCTGACTGCTCCACTGGTACTTGTAGTACGCATACTGTAACTGCACTACACCCACATCCTGTGTTATTTAGTACATCATTTGTCCTAACATCAAGCCTTACATGTATTAAAATGAGGGAAATTACTTTAGCAGATGACTCCAGGTAAATGCCCCTGAGTGGAGAAGTGTTATTGTGTTTCATGTGATGGAAAAGCTCCAGACAAACGCATTCTGTGTTTTGTGCCTTTTGGCTGTCCTCCACACAAACCTCAATTTCCCAACTCATTTTGTAATCATGTCTCTTTCTCGTCTCGCATTTTCTACAGCTGCTGCCCTTGGCAACCTGGTGTCTGATCTGGCAGGACTAGGGTAAGGATTTCGCACACACACACACACACACACACACACACAGATACAGCCAACTATTACCCTTTAAGTTTCCGCAAATCATGACAGGCTGCATGAGGATTCAGAGTCGTTATCCTCATTCAATCAAACGATGAAATATGAAGAAAACTAGGAGAACATCCTAGTGCACCTCCCATTACACACATTATTACAGAAACAGTGTTTTTTTTTACCCTGGTATACACAAATTATCATAGAGAGTCCCTTTAAGGTTTTCCATCCCACTCCACCCCCTCTGGTGAAGGCTAGGTCATTAAATTGCTCAATATTAAACGGTAATTACTGAATTTAGCCCACAGGAAGATAAGCACAGGCAGCAAGGGAGGAAGAGAAATACGCTCACCAGAGGTTTGTGTCCCAGAGGAGAGACGACTGTGCAGAGCACCAAAGGGAGATATGACTATGAATAAGGAAAGTGTAATAATTTAAATTTATCAATGGGGTTTGATTTAATCAAGACAGTCTGAATACGGTACGCCTCAATGAGGACGGAAGTATGCGGCATGACTTTGCTGACAGCTTTGTCATTGCTGTGAATCATGTAAGGTTACAGCCATAGAGAATAAAACTACTGCAGACTGTACTGAAGAACTAGATCTTGACTTTAATCTAGTTATTATGAGATGTGGGAATATTAGACACTCACTTCAGTTTGATTCATTGATAGCTATCATGAGTAACAGTTCAACAAAGTAATTTGACTCTTTAAAAATGAATACATTAAACGACATTTTGTGTGCACTACGTTCCCCATTTACTTAAAGGGAGACTACGCTCAATTACGAAATTCATACATGTCGTTCCTATAGTCTAAGACTGCCCAAAAACATTAGTAATCATGAACAACTCTCTCTCAGATCCAAAGCTAGAGTGCTAAAACTCTGTCTTAGGTCAGGGGTCTGCAGCCTTTACCATCAAAATAGCCATTTTTGGCCAAAAAAAGACCAAAAAAAAAAAAAAAAATCTGTCTAGAGCTGCAAAACATATTTGAGCCCTATAATAAAGGTAACATGGGCTTTTAAGTCGGATATAGCCTATAAACATTAGCGACAGATCTAAATGAGCATTTGCTAGTATGTTTTTGCCCAACGTGGCTATTCTGCAGTGGACTATTTGTGATCATTTGGTACTTTGACTTTGCAACATTGCCGTTGAAAGCAAACAAATTTGTTTACGCACTATTAAATTCTATAGATTCCCTTGAGACTTTTCCCTTTTTAGATATGGAATCCACAGCGAGCCTAGCAAGGAAGACTCAAGCCTACTGTGGCCATCACTAGTGATGTTTTTAGAGGAGAAGGGGCACAAATGTGAAAACATGTTGTTTTTTTAGAGATATTTTTTGGGGGCATTTTGCCTTTTAATGGACAGGACAACTAAGACTGAAAGGGGGAGAGAGAGGGGATGACATGCAGCAAAGAGCCACAGGCTGGATTTGAACCTGGGCTGCTGCGGCAACAGCCTTATATATGGGGTGCCTGCTCTATCCACTAAGCCACCGACGCCCTGGAAACATGTTTAAAACGGTGTACAAGCTACGCTTTTTTACATTTGAAGAATGTAATAATCACTTTAGGCCTACAACAATAAATGAAACTTAAAATGTAAAAATGTAATTAAAAAATTACGGTTATTAATTTCCATATAATTTTCTGTCACAGCTACAGGGAGCCAGAGGAGAGGGGCTGAAGAGCCGCATGTGGTTGGGAGCAGCAGGTTGCTGACCCCTGTCATAGGTAATAAAGTCTGAAACTGCTCCATTGACAGTGAATTGGGAAATATGGTATAGATGACACTGAGAGCACCGAGGGGAATGTTCGAAGTATATGGGAACATTTTCTGTTTCAGAACTGAGAACACTAAAGTGGAATGAAGCTCATTTAGGTACAAAAAGAAAACAAACATTTCTCCCATTCAGTGTCTATGGAGCAGCTCCAGACTTTATACCCTATGACATCACAAGTTTGAGACTTCTGTGGTTTCTGGCTTTGAGAGAGAGTCGCTCATGTTCACAAATATTGATTGACATTTCCCAGGCCATGGAAATCATGTACTGGAATTCTTGATGTGTGGTGTTCCCCTTTATTCATATTAGAATTACACTGGATTTTGTTGCACTAGATGTTTTGCAACATTATTTATTCATCGTCTGTATTCAGTCCAAGTCTATTATAGTTTTATTAGGCACTTTTTGTCAACCTACTGATGTAAATTCAGGTTTGTGTGGCGTAGAAGGAAGTGCAATTTTTTTCGCTATGACTATGCACTGTTCATATAGGATATATCTGGCTCTGATAACCAGCATTATACTCTGTTTTAATATGGACTGACTATCTCACTGCAGATTTGCAAAACCCAAATTTCATATTAAAACATTCAACCTCACTAAAACTGCCTCACATGCCAGAGTGTAGGTGTTTTGATGTCTCTTTTCCTCCTCCAGCTGTCCTCATTTGTATTTTGCTTCCACTGACAGAAAACAAAACAACTTTATTTTTGTCTCCCTTCCTCCGAAATGATGGAAGTAAAACTGCATCAGAGTGATGACTGCCTGGTCTGATCAGCTGCCACTTTTGTGTGCAGCGTGTAATCAGTTATGATCAATGAAAGCATAATGACCCATGATAAGTGGATTATTTTCCTCAGCCAGCAATCAGCATCGATGTGTCCTGGATTCTTTCAGATGATTACAACACATTATTAGGTTCAGTCAACTGATTTATGATTAGTATCCACTTCAGGGCTTCCTTGTGGCCACAGGGACGTTAATCAGCTTCCTAACTTGCTTCACAGGCTTAACCAGCCATAAAAGTAATAGAAGAGGCTTCCGATGTGTCCCCAGCCTACTGGTTATATCTCAGTGATTAGGAACAGTTTATAGCTCTCTCTCAATTAAATACACAGAGAGTCAGCAAAACAGACACGGTAATAAACAGAAGACAACTGTGCTGTTTCCTTTGTTTAACGTGATGGATTAGCTAAGTTGTTCTGGCCTTTGTAAACGCTCTCAGCGGAGACACACACAGTTGCGCCTCCGTGTGAGCGACTGTGTTCGCCACTCAATCGTAATTGAAAGTAGAGCCCTTGTGGCCAGTTTCTCAAGGTGAGACTCGATTAGACCAGACGAGAGAGTCTTTTTTATTAGTTTGATGGATTTACACCAGTGAGCGCGAAGGCTGTGTGTCTGCGACGCAGAGCCTCGGAGGAGCTCCTGCAGGTGTCCTTCACTGCAACATTTGCATTACAGCTTGTGTTCATTTCAAAGGGGGAAGGCTTAAAAGCACACTCACTTAAAGCCTGTGCTTTAGATTACTCTGGGAGTCAGTGGCACTTTAGTGGCAGGTGAGAGCTAAGGGGGAGGCACAGCAGACTTACTGTGGGTATTTATGTCAGGAGCTGGCAGATGAGGCGACCCCAGATGCCCCTTTACTGCAAAATTGTTGCTGTTTTGGTATTTATTTTGCTCAGATCCACACTTCCCAATTGGCAGATAACCACATAGTGATTAGCTTTTGAACAGACTTTTACTCCTTCATGTTGGAGACATTTCATGGCTGAGTCTAAACAAGTTTTTTTGTGTATGAATGACTAGTGCAGTGAACTAGTGCTGCAGCCATAGGTGCAGATTTTGGAGGGGACATATAAGGACAACTCCCCCTCAATATGCAGCCCCAGTAAAAACAGGTGCAGATTACTTTTTCTGGACAAAATTAAAGCCATTTATACCATTAATCGATGCAGAAAAGTCAAAGGTTGGTGCATACAAAATCACCAGAATGCAGGAGATTTTCTGGCGGAGGCCCCTAAACCCCCCGTCTCATATGTGTTGAAATGAAACCTACGCTCTAGGCTGCAACTGCTTATTACTGTCTGAATAACAGTCCGAAACACAAAGATTTTCAATTTGCTATCATAATAGCAGCACTATTGTAATACTGGTAAGGATTCCAGTTAATTTTTTTGCCTTTTTGCTTGAAAAATAACTTGAACAAATAATAAATGATTGAAATTGTTGCTGATTTGTTTGAATGTTTTCTCTTAATTGACATGTCAATTAATGGACCAGGCATTGCAGCTCTTCTACTTTTTGCTTCTCCCGCCCTATTCAGTGTCTTTGCTAGTGGCAAATGTGAAAAAAAAAAGAACCTGAATTATGACTCTATCCATGTACCCATACATTTGCATATTTTCTAGGTTGTTTTCTGCAGTTGGCTCGGATTACATTCTTACTTCCAACAAACCGTACTGCAGTTCACTTGGAAAAGGATCAAGCTCTCCATTTTCAGGCAGTCTGAGTGTAGTGATGTTTAGTCAGAATTGTTTTCGCCTGCCCAAATTAAAAGCTCTAGAAATCGATTGAATTGCTGCTAATGGGTGTAGTGGGAACGTCACCTCCCTTAAGTTTACGTTTGCTTGAAAGACTGATAGAAATATACTGTTTGTTAGTCAGAGAAGAGCCTTCATTTTCGTTTCATTAAGTAAAAAGTGGGAATAATCGTGACACAGAAACATCCTAGCACATCTACCAGTGTTGTACCTTTGGATCACAGCTCTTAGATTTCTGGTGACTTGCGTGTCAGCTACACCATCTAGTTTGTTTGTTTGTTTGTTTGGTTTGAAAACAGCATAAACAGCACTAATCACATCAAATCTTATTCTGATTTGTCCATCTTTCGTACATGCTCCTGAATCAGATACAGGTCTGATTTCTTAGCAATACGACCTCAGTCTGAACAGTCATATCGGAAATCATGTGACTTTTACATCACTCACAGATGAAGAGGCGCCTACAGATACAGTTAAAAGTAGCCCAAGACATCTTAACATTTTAGATAAAATCTGTTTCATTGAAGCCCTTTATATCACAATCCCACCACTCCTGGCTCTGACTCCTAATCCACACACATCTCCATACTGAGGTAGCAGCCATTGCTCCACAGAAGCCATAATTAAAAACATTG